GGGCGTGAGTGCAGTGCATTGCCGGTGTAAGTAAACGAAGCAAAAGTCGTCGCTTTAGCTAGTTCTCTTCTTTTTCGCTTTTTCCCATTCTCACTCCTCTTCTGTCACTGACATGCACACACACACACCGTCGGGGAATATTATCGGAGACAAACACCGGCGGTGTGCCACTTATTAGCAATTGAAGGCAGGCAGGCAGATGACCAGGCAGACGGGCAGGCAGTGATGAAGTGGCGCAATTAGAAGCGAATTAGCAGAGACAAGAAGACAAGACATGATGAAAGACATTGAGAGCAAACACCATCACCGCCGTTGAAGCACACAATTACACAACATTAGAAAGATGCTTGGGCACGCGTTTGTGGTGGTGATGGTGGTGATGAGCACACACACACACACAACCGCACAACAGACACTTGAGCCCAGCGCCAGTGTCAAGAAAACTGTGTGCCCGAACTGCTGGGGAGACTTATTAGACGACGGCTACGGCATCGGCGGCCTGTGTTTGTTTGCCCAGGCACTCGTCTCGTATTATTGTAATATCGACGACCACCACGACGACGAGTATCATGTTCGAGCACACATTAGTCGGGCACTCTGAAGCCTAGATCCTCCTTCTACTTCTTCTTCTTCTCGACTTGATTGCTCACTGTTGACTGAGCAGTGGTGGTGGTGGTGCACCAGGTTCGCCCGACTGGACCTGACAGTGAGTCGCGGGAGAAGAGATGTTTGCCAATTGCTCTCCCTCGTTTTTGTTTGCTCTTTTCCCATCTCGTCTTCAGTCAGTCAGTCAGGCCCTGACTGGCTGTGTGTGTGTATGTGTTGGCTGTGGCAGACCTCAATTGCACAACAACAAGAGCCCAACACACACGCAGCTAATACACCCGAACACTGAAGTAGAAGTAAAAGTAGTGGTATTTGCACAGACCGTTGAAGGGGGCAAATGCGATCTTTTTCTTGCTCGGTGGCTTTTACATTAACATTAACCGTGATGTCTTTATTTCTTTCCTCTCTTCCAATCTCAGATCCATATCAAATGTTTGGTCCGACGAGCAGTCGCTTGGCCAGCTCGGGTAAGTTGCTCAGCGCACAATTTCGGTCCACTTTGACGACTTTGTTGCAATTTTCCGCCCCCCCTTCTTTTATCATAATCACTTGCCTGCCCCTCACACACACACTTGATGTCCTCCTAATCACCTACTTCAACTTTTCTTCTTTTATTTCTCCTCCTCAGGTTCAGGGCAAATTCAGCTGTGGCAATTTCTCCTCGAGCTTCTCTCCGACAACGGCAACGCCAACTGCATCACATGGGAAGGCACAAATGGCGAATTCAAGTTGACTGATCCAGGTTGGTTATTGCTCTCTTCTTATTCCTCTTTTCTTCTTTTAGTGCCCTCTAATTCTAAACACTATTTCGCCTTTTTCTTCTAAAACACTAAATAAATCACACACAAACACAAATTGTTCTTTCTCATTTCATCAGATGAAGTCGCCCGACGGTGGGGCGAGCGGAAGAGCAAGCCCAACATGAACTACGACAAGCTGAGCCGTGCCCTGCGCTACTACTACGACAAGAACATCATGACGAAAGTGCACGGAAAGCGATACGCGTACAAATTCGATTTCCAGGTTAGTTCAAGCTTTTTATTGGCGCAGGGGACAGAGTTTACTGTTTTTTCTGCTTTATCTTCTTCTTCTTCTTCGTTAGTTAACCGCAAGTGGACAGTAGTAGTAGTAGTTGGGTAGTAATTCGGAGGCATTCTCCTGTGATAATCTGATTACGGTGGGCCACTACTGTGGTGGGGTGAAAGCCCCTCTTTCATTGATTGAGAACTTAAACAGCAGCAGCAGTGGTGGTAGTTAGTGGTCAACAGAGGGAGAAAGTGGAAAAATCAAAACCAAAAACCAAAAAGCAGCTCCCTAACAAAGCTCATTCTTTCTCTCCTTAATAATCCCCCGCTACCAACAAAAAATGCAGGGCCTAGCTCAGGCGACGCAGCCCACGCCGGCGGACACCTCGATGTACAAGGGCGCCTACCAGACGGCGGGCGACCTCTTCAGCAGCATGCACCCCGGGGCGCAGCTGGGCGGCTACCATCACGCCCACCACCATCACCCCCATCACCCCCACCACCACCACAGCTCCAGTGGAATGATGGGTATGAATGGAAGCGGGGGCGTCGGCGCCGCCGGANACCTCTTCAGCAGCATGCACCCCGGGGCGCAGCTGGGCGGCTACCATCACGCCCACCACCATCACCCTCATCACCCCCATCACGCCCACCACCACNCGACCTCTTCAGCAGCATGCACCCCGGGGCGCAGCTGGGCGGCTATCATCACGCCCACCACCATCACCCCCATCACCCCCATCACCCCCACCACCACCACAGCTCCAGTGGAATGATGGGTATGAATGGAAGCGGGGGCGTCGGCGCCGCCGGAAGTGGGAAGCACCACCACCACCATCACCACCACTCGCTGAACTCCTTCATGACGGCCGCTTCGTTGACGTCGCCCACGGCGGCCGCCGCCGCCTCTTCGCTCTTCAGTCCGACGGCTGCGGCCGCCGCCAGCGGCTACTGGGGCAGTCCAGCGGGGGTGAATAATCTGTACTCGAACATCGCGGCGGCGGCAACGTCGAACAGCATCGGCCATCACCACCACGCACACCACGGATCGGCGGCCAGTCAGCACCTGGCGTCGCACCTGGGCTCGCCCTATTCCCATTACGCATAAAACAATGAGAGTAAAAACTTACTGATTGAGACTGTACATAGTACATGACCATCCTTTTTTTCTGCTGAAGAACTTTTTTCGGTTTCATTCTCGTGTGACCCTTTCCTTTCTTTTCCGTTCTTTCATTCTAGTCTGACTTTGCTCTAGTCTTTCCTTCTCACATCTCTTGTACATACTCTTAAAATAGTGCTCTACAGTGCTAGTCAATTCCATCGAACCTTCTCCTCTTCCTCCTCCTCCTTCTGCAAAAACAACAATAAACAAAAGTTGGAAAATGTCTCAATCTCACACTGTTTGACAGGGAAATGACAGCCTCTGAACCGAGGCTGGTTCCCATCGCCCACAGTTTCACCTAGGCACCACTGCAATCAGTGGATTCAGTGTAATTCCCTCTCAAAGTGAGCAAAGTGAGCAGCAGCAGTGGCAAGCGTGCCGGGTGCATGCCGTCGTCAACTGAAGTGCTGACTGCGATTGATTCATCTCTCTCTCTCTCTGTCCTCTCTCCCGATTGAGCTGATTTGAGAGCTACAAATATTGGACACTGTGTTTTAGATGAGAGAGAGTGAGTGAAACACTGCAGAAGATTGAAGGGGATGGGAGAGGGGGTGAAGTTGCAGTTGCTGCTGCTGCTGCTGCTACAACCTCGAATCATGCGGAGCGTGAAAACGACGACGACGACGACGACGTCGACGACGGCCACTGCAGAGAGAAATGATTAACTGACTGACTGTGCCTGACTGTGTGAGCAAGCACAGTTAGCCAGCCAGCTAACTAAATGAGAGCGAGTAGTGGAAGGAGAACAAAACGTTGTTGAGTTGTTCCCTGTGTTCTCTGCTGTTGGACCAACAACAGTAGCAGCAGTGAGCACATTGGGCGCACTGGGCGAATTTGTTGTCCATTATATTGGCTTAACGAGCAAACGTGAGCCACTGGTTCTGGTGGTGG